TCAGCCATTCTGTTTGAGTGGTCCACCTGTCTGTGTTTTTGCCAGCACCATGCTGTTTTTGTTACTGTAATTTTGTAGCATAATTTGAAGTCAGGTGTTACGATGTCTCCAGCCTTGCTTTTGTTGCCTAGAACTGCTTTGGTAATCTGGGCCTTTTGTGTTTCCCTGTGGAGTTTAGGACTTTTTTTTCTAACTCTATAAAGAATGTCCTTGATATTTTGACGGGAATTGAATTAAATTGGCAGATCACTTTAGGTAGTATGGATTCTGCCAATTCGTGAACGTGGGAAATCTTTCCATCTTCTAGTTTTTTCTTTAATTTTTTTCTTCAGTTTTTTGAAATTTTCATTGTGGTAGTCTTTCACATCCTTAGACTGAGCCCTAGGTATTTTGAAAAGCTGTTATGAATGGCATTGTTTTCCTGTGTTCTTTTTCAGCTAGTTCATTACTGGTTTATAGAAAAGCCATTGATTTTTTAATGTTGATTTTATATCCTACTACTTTGCTGAACTTATCACTTCTAAAAGTCATTTGGTGGAATCTTTAGAGTCTTTTTTTTTTTTTAGCCTTTTGAGATAGGGTCTTGCTGTGTATCCCAGGCTGGCCTCGAACTTGAAGCAATCCTCCTGCCTCAGCCACCTACCTAGGGTCTTTTAAGTATAGGATCATATATATCTTCTGCCAACAATTATAATTTTACTTCTTCCTTTTCTGTTTGCATCCCTTTTATTGCTTTCTCTTGCCTAATTGCTATAGCTAAAATTTCAAGAACTATATTGAAAAGAGTGATAAGAATGGATATCCTTACCTTATTCCTGATTTTAAAGGAAATTCTTTCGTTTTTCCCCATTTAGAATATTGTATATGACCCTTACTATATTGAGGGATGATCCTTCAAAACCTAGTTTCTTCAGGGCTTTTATCATAAAGAGCTTTTGAATTTTGTCAAAAGATTTGCTGTATCAGTTAAGATGATCATGTGATTTTTATTTTTCTATATGTGGTATATTTATTGATTTGCGTATAGTGAACTATTCTTGTATCTCTAGAATGAAGCCAACTTGATCATGGTGTATGATCTTTTTAATAAGTTGTTGAATTTGGTTTGTGTCTTAGTTATTTTCTCATTGCTAGGACAGAACACCTGACACCAACAAGTTAAAGGAGGAAAAGTTTTAGTTCACAGTTTGTAGAGGTTTTAGCCTGCAGCTCCAAGGCAGGGCAGCGTGGCAGAGGGACATAACAGAGGAGAACAGTTCATTGTGTTCAGGCAGGAGATAGTAGCACCAAGGCTTCCTTGCTCTTTCTGTTCCATTCAGGCTGGAAGCCTATTCACTGATGCCACCCACCCTCAGAGTAGGCCTTCCCATCATCCACACTCAGAACTATGATAAAGTAATCAGTGGACTAATCCATTTATCACACTCATAATCCAGTATCATGTACTCCTAATCCAGCCACTCCCATAAAACCCACCTATGAATGCACGAAACTTTGTGGGGACATCTAGATACAAGGTGTAACAGTTTGCAGATGTTTCGTTAAAGATTTTTGCATATATATTCATTAAGGATATTTTTGTTGTGTCTAATTTGGATGTCAGAGTAATGTCTAGTTTTGATATCATTTTCTAGTTTTGGCGTCAGGTGTCAGGGTTTGGCTTTGCAGAACGATGTTGGAGGCGTTCCTTCCCTATTTCATGAAATGGTTTGAGGAGCATTAGTGTTATTTCTTCTTTAAAGGTCTGATAAAATTAAACAGTCAACCAGCCTGGGCTGTTCTTTGTTGGGAGACTTTTATTATTGCTCCAGTGTCACTGCTTGTTATTGATATGTTTAGGTTTTTTAATATCCCCATTGGTTCAGTTTTGGTAGGTCATCCGTTCCTAAAATTCATACATTTCTTCTAGATTCTCCAGCTCATGCATTTAGGTTTTCAAAGTAGCACCCAGTAGGTTCTTTGCTGGTCATGGGTTCGGGGTCTAAATGCATCCTGTACTTGGATATCTATATCTTTCCCAAGATTTATAAAGTGTTCTCTTACTTATTTCATTAAATAGCTTAGTCTGAACCTCGGTACCCTCTTCTACACCAAAAACTTGTTGTGTTTCGTCTTTTAATGATGTCCCAAAGTTCTTGGGTGTTTTGCTCATAATTTCAGGCAGGGGTGGTACTTTCTTAATGTCTGCGTATAATAGTTCCTCAGCCTTACCTTCACGCCACACATTCTGTTTTCTGCCTAGTTGCGTCTATTGGTGAGATTTTTATTGAGTTTTTTATTTGACATACTGTGCTTTTCATGTTCAGAATTTCTGCTGTACGTTGTTTGTTTGTTTTTTGTTTTGTCTTTCAAGATAGGGTCTCACTTTGTAGAGCAGGCTGGCCCTGAACTCACTATGTAGGCCAGGCTGGCTTTGAACTCATGGCATTCCTCCTCCCTCAGCCTCCTGAGTCCTAGGATTACAGGCATGCACCGGTATGCTTGACCTCAGAATTTCTGTTTGGTTCTTCTCAGAACCTCTCTTTGTTGAATTGCTCCTTCATATTCTGCACTGTCTTCCTTAACTTATATAGCTGTTTATTTGTATATTTTTGAAGTTATTAATCATTTTATAAATCAAAATAGTCTTTTGAATTCTTTGGCATTTCATCTACTTCATTATCTTTGCATTCAGTTACTGATGAATTATAGAAATTTGGAGGAGTCTTGTTGCTTTGTTTTTTCATACTTCTTGTGTTTCTATGTTGAGATTTGTGCATTTGTTGACTATGCCTTGGGATGAGTATTCCTTCCACTTTTATTTGAGGGTCTTCTTAATGTCCAGGCTTCTTTTGAGGACTTAATCCTCAGCATTACTTAGAGAGGAGAAAATAAATTATAGTAACATCAACCACACAAAGACCAGCCAGATACTGACATACAGTAAAAACCATTTAAAAACAACAAATGTCATGGTAGTGCATGCTTGTAATCCCAGCACTTGAAGACTGAGGTAGGAGAATCACTGTGAGTTTGTGGCTAGCCTATGTTACAAGGTGAGTTTAAGGCCAGCCTGAGCTGCAAAACAAGACCGTCTCAAAAAAAAAACAACAACAATCAAAAAAGTAACAACTATGCCATCATTAACAACAGAAGTCAGCAATAATAATATAGATTCAAAGACAAACCAGATATTGACATACTATAGAAAGCAACAATTACATACCCTTAAAAAGAGATCAGCAATAATAATATAGACAAGACGACAAAACAAATACTGACATAAAGAGCTACTAAAAGCAATAATTATACCACTATTAAAAATAGGGGGAAAAACCAAGCAATAGTAGTATAAACTAAATAGCTAAAAATAAAAGTTGATAGTATTACTGGTACAAGATGGACGAATGCAAAAAATAGAAGTAATAAAATTATAGAAAGAAAGAAAAGTAAGATAAAAAATTCAATTAAATAATAAAAAGATAAGTGGAATTAGATAAAGGTGTCAGAAAATCAAGAAAAGGAAAAGAAGGAGAAAAGAGAATAAAACTAAGAACAAAAAGGAAAAGTAAGTCCAAAAAATTCTTCCCTGCTGAGGTGTCTGGGTAGTTTTTTCAGGCATCTGTAATATTGGAGTCTCCCAGATACGGAGGGATTCACCATAAGTGAATCACAACTGGGGCCTGTTGTGTTTCTTTCTTTCTTTTTTTTTTTGTGTCGGGAATTGAACTCATGACCTCAGGCTTGCCAGGCAAATGCTTATGCCGCTGAGCTACATCCCGGGCCCTGGCCTGTTGTGTATCTTCCCCCATGTTGTGCTGTGAGAACGTCAAGTCCTATGCGCCTTTCCTGCAGAGTCAGTCCGTGGTACGTTGTCTGCCTCAGGGCTGTGTTCACTCGCGTGGCTTTTAGTGTTGTGTCTTTTTGTGTGCCCCAAGCCACTACTCTCGCTGACTCACTTCGCCACCTGGGGCCTGTAGGGTACCCCACTTGCTGCAGAGGCCCCTCTGTACACCCAGGAGGTGGCGGACATCCATGAGTGGTAGAAGTGTACCACTCACCAGGTCGGCAGGTGGGGAACGCGACTAGAGCAGTGAGTTCCGTGTTGGAAGGAGGGAGCAAGTGCAGTCAGTCCCCTGGAGTCAGTCCCAGCACTTTCAGCCCCAGCCCCTTCAGAAAACCACACGGAGCTGCGCTGGCTCCTTACCGCAGAGAGCAGGACCACCGTGTCCTCCACAGCTTGAGCGCTCTCTGTTGCTTAAACTTCCCAGGGTGTGTTTGACGGCCTTCCCCTTCCCGGCAGCTGAGTCCTGTGGCTCTCCCCACCCAGTCACTATGGTGGGTGACAGAGTTGTTCTGTGGCTTCCGATTCCCAAGTAACTCAGTGCTTAACAATAAGCCCCTTCTTAGACTGGTTCCTGATTATATCACTCCTGAATATAGTCAAGGCCTCTGCGCATTTCTTCTCCAGCTTCCGTCTGCCGTGCGTGATCGTCACTTCCAGAGCAAAGTCACACGCTGACAGTACCTGGGGGCTGTTCTTGGGGCTGGTGTGCTGCTTTGTTGTTTCTCTTTGGGGCTGATGGTCCTCTGCGAAGTTATCTCATGTTTGCTGATACAGGTCCCCCTGGAAGCCAAAGTGAGCGTTCCACACGGTTTCATTCTTTTCTCTGTGTTGTCTTCAGTTGCTTTGTGATTTTTAGCTTTCTTGTCAGCTCTTTCTTGGTCCTAGGACCTCTTCTCTTTCTCTTCGCTAAGGTGTTTTGTGGGTGTCCCGATTCCAGATCCCAGAGAGACTGCCTGGCTGCCAGCTTCTATTCCGCTGTCTTAGTCTCAGCTTTCTCTGTTACTGATCAGATTATCTTAACTAAGAGAAATAAATGTTGATTTTTGAATTTTTCCTTAATATTACAAAGTTACAAAAAAATACAGAAAACTTTGTTTTGCAGTTAAAATTTCAGCCTACAGAAATTGCTGTATAATGAAGAATGATTTTCTTTATATTTTGCCCTCACTTTCAGGTACAACTTGCCAATCATAGTCTTGGTGGTGAACAATAATGGAATTTACCAAGGTTTTGATGCAGATACTTGGAAAGAAATGGTAAAATTTCAAGATGCTGTTACAGTGTGAGTAATCCAGAGCGACGCATGTTTGATTTTTCTCACGTTTGTATCGTGTTTTTAGGAGTTGCTGTATTGGAATGTGCCTGCTCGGAGTGAGTGTTGTTTCTGTGTCAGTCCTTGTGAAGGGCACGGACCCTGTCCTTGTGGCTCTTCTTTGCACAACTATCCGTGATTAGGTGTTTCATAAGTGGTTTATGACCAAGGAGCCACTGAAGGTGATGTCTAAGCCTTTATTTAAGACAAGGCTTACTGCACAAGACCCCCAGTCTTACTATTCCTAGTACAGTAGGAAGGAATATGAACGTTCATTTTTTTTATGGCACAGAGCACTTCATTTTATCAACTAGCTAAATCTTGGTCATCGCATGGCAGAGCCAAACTAAGACTGTGTGGTAGCTGGCCAGGGCTATAAGACTAATGTAGATTTGTGAGCTGGCCCAGGACGGGCCGGGCACCTGCGTGTGGGTTATGTCTCCCCCGCTTCACGTGTTTTTCATTGTTGTTTTGCATACCTTTCCTTTTTCTTTTGGATTCATAATAGTTGATGTATAGAGGCTACTAGACATCTATTGCTAATTAAATTTAGTTTCAAGTGAATTGAATTAAATTAAAAGTTCAATCTCAGTTTTGTCACATTTTAAGTGCTTGTAGTAGCAAGTAGCTAGTGGCTACCACACTGAGTATAAAATATTTCCATCATCACAAAGTTTTTGGACATTTTTATATAGCTAATTAAAAATGTAGGGAAAAGTTAGTGTACTGACATCTCAGCTTAAGTTTTGGCCCATAATTTTTTTAACAAATTACTTCAAAGAATGACCTTTTTCTAAAAGCTTTACAATTTAAATTTGATTGACTTACGACCGTCTTTTTCAGGGCTCCTCCAATGTGTCTCCTGCCAAACTCACGTTACGAGCAGGTCATGACTGCATTTGGAGGCAAAGGCTATTTTGTACAAACACCAGAAGAACTCAGAAAATCCCTGCAGCAGACCTTGGAAGACACAACTAAACCTTCTCTTATCAATATCATGATCGAGCCACAAAGCACACGCAAGGCCCAGGTAAATGCAGTTACTTAGCAGTCCCCATCTCCTGCAAGAAAGGAAAACCCTTTGTGACCACAGAGTCTTCTAAATCATTTCTGAGTCTGGCAATTTCATTTGCCTGTTCAGTGAATATTTGCTGAGATACTGTTAGATGTGCTGTATTAGGAGTAGACTGCTGAGCAAAACTGGGCTCTGTCCTCACCTCCATGGTGCTTAGGGTTCAGCGATAGCCTCACAATGACCTGGATGCTGCATAATAGCGTAAGTGAACTGCTTGGAAGCAAAGGGACCCATTTCTAAGCAAGCATACCACAAAGGAATCCGAGTTATACTGGGGTTGCAGGGAAGGCCTCTCGGGAAGTGGTGCTTAAATTGATATCTGAAGGATGAATGGGAGCAGCTTGGCAAAGAGGAGAGGGGAAGCTGTGCAGGAGGGAGCCGACCAAGTCTGAGGAACTGAAAGAGGCTGGAGTGGCTGGAGGGCAGAATGGAGGGGGCGCGATCGCAGATGAGATTGTAACAGGTCGCCTAGTGCTGTTACCGCCAACGTGAGTCACTTGGACTTTGGAAGCAAAGCTGCACTGTAGATCACAGCAGTAAAATAAGTGATGAAGTGTGCTGGTGGTCTTCTCCCACCCCAGAGGAAGTTCCTTTTCATGCTTAATCTTGCACTGCTTCCTGCCACTCGCCCCTGTTACAGTCCTGTCCTCCGTGCTTCTGCCTCACGCCTCAGCCGCTCCAGAGCGGAGAGTCTTTTCATACTTCCTGTCTTGGCTCTTAGACATGTATCCACTGTGGGATCTTGTTTTTTTAGCAAGGCAGGGAATGAAGAGACACGTGGACAGTCGTTATATTACGGTGTAACTAATTTGGAAGCTCCAAAATACATAGAATTTTGAAATTCTGTCTGTGTAAAAATAGACAGCACAGACTTTGGAATTTACCTCGCCGCTGAGAAGAGGCTCTCGGTGCAGCCTGATGATGAGATGGGTGCAGGACTGGGCCAGAAGGACCTCTGGCTGACACACAGGCTGACTTAAAGTAGTGCCAGCTGCTCTTGCAAGCTGCTCTCTGTCCATGGGCTTTTTGATTGCCTGTTCATTCTTGGTGCTAGGGTTGACCCCTGCTCGTGGAACGCTCATGCTCTGCCACTGAGCTGTTCCCCAGTCCCTTGTGTTTTCCTTTCTTAAGCTTTATTAGTTGAAATGACTTTTGCCAGATAGTCAGTGAACAGACTTGTAAATCCCATGTCGTTGTGTTAGTCTATAGCTGAGTATAAACCTTCCAGTGAGTGGAGTATTGGCTTTGTAACTCAGGTGCCGTCTTCCCGGCATGAAGGTTTCAGAGTGCTAAGGAAACTAAAGGCACTATGAGAACCTTGACAGGTACCGTAATTAAAGTCTCGAGGCCTGCGGTAGTCACCGAAGAGCCCAGTGAATTGCCCCCTCTCTGCTAATGAGTTCTCTGTTCTAATGATCTGTTTGTAGTTTCTCTATGAATTTTGTTTGAATATTTCTGGAGAAATGCAAGGTTTTTCCCCTCTTCTTTTATAATTCTGTGAGGGTTATCCTTATATTTCTTGCATTTAATCACTTCAACATTATTGATCTTCATTCTAGTGGAATTCTACGTATATCATGGTTTCCAAAATGTTACTTTTCATTGGCTGTCAGCCTTTTGCTTTTGATTCATAATGTGAATGAAGAATTCATGATTCATAAGTCTGGCTACTTCTTGCCTTAACATAGGTAATGCTAATTTTCCGTAGGAGCCCAAGTCTGGGCCACATGTGTAGGATGCTGTTAGTCCTGGGAAAGGCAGATAGTGCATGGTTCTTCTTACACATGTTCTTCTCAGTCCTAGGGCTCAGTCTTTGGGGTTTTTGACCCCCACAGAGGGCTGAGCTCATCCCCTCTCCTTTTCAGTGTACAGCCTCTCAGGTTCTTTCAGACTAGTGCATGCATGGGGGGGTGTGTGCATGTGTGCACAAATTACACTGGAAGAGGACTCAGGAAACCATTTTAGGTTTTTTTTGGACAAGGCAACCAAGGGTCACTCCTTTGTAGCTCCTTTTTTAGGAAAAGCACTAGACCAAAAACAAACCTCATTTTACCACCATTGTGTGGGACTCTTAAATTTAATTTAATTT